GAATATATGTATTTTTACTAAATTAGAGGGAAACTCGAATGAGGTCAGGACTTTTCACGGTTTAACAAATAACAAGACGCCTGTTCTGGCGTTAACTCCGGCGCACGTGCCAGTCTTCAATATAGAGCTTCTGAACATAAACAATACAGTTCATATTCGCATTTAGATGCCTTGCGAACCTAAATGTTCGATCGCGAAATTCAGAAGCACATCGTACTTTAAAAAGTATAGAAGTTAAATCGTTCAAGAATGTAAATAAACGGTATGATACATTCGCTTTGTCTTACACTTTGCCTTTGGAATTCGCGCTTATATAGTTATAGCGCCCATACACGACCACATCATCTTGTTAAACGGCGAAATAGCAGCGATATTACTAAAATAGGACCAGAATCTACACGTATTAAATATATTCTTACCCCAATTCAGTCTAAACTTAATCGAAAAGCATGAAAAGAACGGTTTATTTGTTTCTCTTGGAGGAATTGCTGTATCATGCGAGCGAAATCGAATCGCGCATCGGAAAATTAGCCAAAGCTGTGCACCACAACTCTTGGGAGAAAAGACTAGGACATAGATAAATCCAATCACATACACATTTTAAATACTAGAATGTTTCGCGCCATTACAGACTTGCGACGACGAAAAATAATAAAAAAAAAACAAATAAAAAAAAAAAAAAAAACAAAACCGAGGCGAATTTTCAACTCCGTCGCTGACGCCGGAGTGACAAGACCAAATTTTCGACCATGTATAATGATTGAAGTTTATGAGTTCACGGCAACCAGGTATATAATCCATCGTAATTATCGCTACTCTGGTTTTAGTAAATGAAAGTAATCACCACACAAAGATTAACTTTCACGACCCAACGTTTCGACACTCCGGTCTAGTGTCTTCATCAGGGGTGATCTGATGTTGAAACTCGGTTCCTTATATACTCTCAAAATGACGTCATCTATTAATCAGATGTAAATACTCTTTTGGCAAATAGCTTCCGTCATCCCTATTAAGGGCACAAAGACCACTTGTCCTCAGTGTACTGAGAGAGAACAACTATCCTCGAAACTTTTTAAATGATTGTCTAAAATCCCCTGTCTCGACTAGATGCAATTCCTCAGAGGGTGATTCCTCAAAAACAGGTTTTGCTATAGTTCCATACATTCAGGGAATTGCAGAACCAATCAAGAGGATCCTGAATAATTGTGGTATAAAAGTTGCCTTAAAACCCTTTCAGACATTGGGACATATTTTCGCGAAACCCAAGGATCGCGTAGCGACTAAACAGAAAACTCATGCTGTATACTCTATACCATGTGGTGATTGCGAGAAAGAATATCTAGGTCAAACAAAACGCCAGTTCGGCACACGTTTAAAAGAACATCAAAAGGCCGTATCGAACTTAAACAGTTCAAAATCAGCCTTGGCGGAACACGTGTGTCAAACTAACCATAACATTGGGTGGAACGATTCAAAAGTCATTACCACTAATGATCGTTATGGACAAAGGCGTTGTTTGGAAGCCTGGCATATTAATGCGAGTCTTTGTGCCCTTAATAGGGATGACGGAAGCTATTTGCCGAAAGAGTATTTACATCTGATTAATAGATGACGTCATTTTGAGAGTATATAAGGAACCGAGTTTCAACATCAGATCACCCCTGATGAAGACACTAGACCGGAGTGTCGAAACGTTGGGTCGTGAAAGTTAATCTTTGTGTGGTGATTACTTTCATTTACTAAAACCAGAGTAGCGATAATTACGATGGACGTGTATAATGATGTCGGAAGATTTTACACTTGATAATATTTCATCCGGCACAGCTTTTTCTGGTAAACACAACTTTAATATTCTCAAATGTATTTCACTATAAATCTGAATGTGTTATGTGATAAACAGCATTATAATTTCATTTATAAACTCCGTTTTCATAATGACAAAAAGAAAGAAAATCAAAACATTCCCGTGCAAAAACCAGTCGAAGCGTATAAACATAAAACTTCGGAAGTTGTATGAGACGTCTGATGTTATATTTCATGGTATTTAATAATTAAAATAATTTACAAAACACTGATTATAGATGAGTAACTTAACTTCCAGAAAAATGTAAGAATCTTGTCGTATTTTTGCCATTTTTTCACAAAAATATGAAGGTAAACTTTGATTCTTTAAAAATATACGGCCGTTGTAGTGAGTTGCTATGGCTACAGTGTTTCCAGGTGCAGAAAAATATTTCCATACTTTTCTCAATTTCTATTTCTCACATACCATGTGCCCTTCAAAACCCCCAACCCACATAAATTTTCTAACAATCATGTTACCATCCCTACGCTTAACTAATTTCATTTCACCGAGGCGAGGGGGTGCTGCATGCATGTATTTCTAGTAATATGAAATATTTAGTTTTGCATAGGAAAAACTAAAATAGGCAGCACTTAGACCGTTTGCAAAGTAAAATGCAAACGTTCTAACCTCCATACGAATACAAATGCATGCTTAATTCTTGCAGTAAACATAAAACATGAAATAGTAATATGAATTATTTAGTTTTGTATAGCAAAAACTAAAATCGGTAGCACTTTAACCGTTTGCAAAGTAAAATGCAAACGTTCTAACCTCCATAAGAATACAAATGCATGCTTAATTCTTGCAGTAAACATAAAACATGAAATAGTAATATGAAATATTTAGTTTTGCATAGGAAAAACTAAAATAGGTAGCACTTAAACCGTTTGCAAAGTAAAATGCAAACGTTCTAACCGCCTTACGAATACAAATGCATGCTTAATTCTTGCAGTAAACATAAAACATGAAATAGTAATATGAAATATTTAGTTTTGTATAGCAAAAACTAAAATAGGTAGAAGGTGTTTATAACAATGTAAAAATAAATGAAAATATTAAAAAATTGACACCTGCATGTCGTAATGAAATTCATCCCGTTTGCTTATTTATACATGCAATATCACATTAAGGGCCCGTTCACACTAGCGTTTTTAAATCGATTCGAAATCGATACGAGTCCGAATGAACCAAGTGTGAACAGGCACAAGCGAAGCGAAAACGAATTCGATCCGATTGAAAGTAGTCCACTTCAAGAGGTGGTCTCGATTCGAATTAATTTGGTCCGTTTCCCAGTGTGAACGCACTAATCAAGTGAAACGAATCAGTCAGGACCACTGAGCTCAATATATTACCTGGAGAGATCGCTCGGGAAAAAGCGCGCGAAAACTTTATTTTTGTTTTGGTTTCTCCATAGACTATCGAAGGGAATGGACTGGAAACGCTAATATAAAGCGCTGATACGATGCGTGATACGCCTGTGCGATTTGCGCGCGAAATTATATCCAAGATGGCGGAAAGCTTAAACAGCGAAACTGTTAACTGGGATACAATTTTTGAATATACTCATAAAGAAGAAGCTATTGAAAGCGAAGAAGAAAGTAGCGAGGAAATTAACGAAGACGAGGCATTCATTCTGAGTGAAGAATGTCCAGAAATAAATGATAATGTTGAAGAAACGCCTGGTAAAAATTTGGGAACTGAATACTAATAATTAGTATTTTTATTAAACGTCCAGCTGTGAAATATAAACTGATGTACTTGCTTTATTTGATACGTTTATTAATCAATCAATCAATCAATCAATCAAATCGTTTAATCAATCAAATCGTTTGATAAATATACATCTCGCAGTCATTAAGAGTCACTGTGTCTATTTGAATAGTTTGGCATAAAAGAGTTTTTAAAACGATTTGTATAATTGTTTAAATAATAAATTTGTGATTTTTTAATGAAGTGAAGTAAATCTGTTTCTATACTGTTTCTGTTTTACGAAATTATGGGAAGAATTGCAATCATTCCATTTCCAAACAAAAATATTGAAATCCTTTATATAAGAGTCTATTCTAAATCCTTGACATGATGTGGTTACATATTATAGAAAGTCATGGCAAATATACAAAGTATTCCTTTTCTAAGCTCTGTGCTGGTGGTGAAAAGTTAGTGGAGGAAACTATGAGTGATATTATTAACGATCCCTTCAACAAGATAAAAGGATCACTAAATGGACCACAACTGATTGGTACTGCTGAGTGTTTTTTGAAAAATAAAGATCAATGCAATGTTGAAAGGTTGCATGCTTCATTGTCTATGATTTGGAATGCTGTTTCTGCTGGTGATTCAAAAAAGATTCTGGCTGACCAGCGTGAGAAAATGTGGCAAGCTTTTCACAACATGTGCTTAAACTCTTCTTTTGTTGAGGGGTTGAAGTCTTACTTGCGTCCAGCCTTGAATGATCATCCCCCATTGACAATTTTTATTCAGACCTTAGTACGAAAGCTGTTTGAAAAAATAATTGTTCTGAATCTGGTGCACAGTTTAGCTCTGAAAATCCTGAAAGTCCAGAGAAAATAACAAATGTCGAGGAGAACATCCTGAGATATGCTGCAGGTTTTGTTCCCTTTGCATTAAAGAAAAGGTGCAAAAAGAAGCAGTGCGGGGAGAGTGATGCTCAAACCCAGTGTCTTAATGCTCTTGGTGTGATGAAGGGAGTGGAAAATCCACAAACATTTTTAGACTACACAAAATGCTGGATTGACAAGCAAAATAGAGGTGGTTTATTTCAACTGACAAATGAAGCTTTCTTGTTCTTTAGATCAGTAGAATGTCATTGCCGCAAATATTTTCAAAAAAACCATATAAAAACTACGGCTGATTCAACGGATATAAAATCCCCAGTTTTAAATGCTGTACTTAAGGACGAGGTGGTAAAGCAGCATTGGAGAGAAGCAACAGGACAAAATGTAACAGAATCAAACCAGGTCATGCAAATGTGCATACAACTGTGAGTTGATATTCGAGGTCATGCATTTGCAGCACATTGGATGAACATTTCAAACATCACCAAACTATTGAAGCATCAAAGAAAAAATCCCTAAGAAAAAATCTGAAAAATGCAGAAATTATGTAACCATGGATTCATAACTTTTCATAACTGTTAGAAAAAAAGTTTTTTTGGTTTTCTTGGCCTCTTTGGAAGTGGTGTGTCATCAATTTTGTTTTCAGTGCATGACCTTTTACAGTTGCCATTGACTGGGGCCAGTGCCTGAGAACCTAGCAGACGAAGATTGTTCTCATTGTAGTTGAATTGAGCAACTGTAGGATTGTCATTTCCTCCCTTCATTTGTCGATGCTTGCCAAAATGTGATTCTAACGGATCTTGGTTGAAGCGTTCACTTAAAATGTATTGCACACCAGTTTGTGCAAGCAAGTACTGTGTCAATTCAACAAATGAATAAACTGAAGGAAAGAGAATTTATAAGAGTGTAAATATTTGCAACATGAAATGAAAGGGCATATAAGTAACCTTGATTGAACAATACAGTAAATCATTATGTTTTCTTCTAATACCTGTCATATGTATCCCTTCATTTGTTTGATTGCTCAATCTCATTTTCGCCTTTTCTTTCGATTTCAGTCCCTGGAAGTGTGAATCTACTGATGTTGCCCACCTTTCCAGGTATTTTAGAAAATCATCCCTCAGCCACTATGTAAAGCAAATAAATATTTTCTACATTTTGCTCCAGGCTATACATGTATTGACTATACCGAAATATCGTTGGTGAGGTCTAACAATTACCCCACCTTTAAACGCTGGTCATTTGGAGATTTATATGGTGCCATATTCGGTTTCCTGTTCCTGTCAGCCTCTGTTAGTGACCGACTATTCAAACAATCGAAAAATTTATCAAACATTCTGATGAATTTTACGGTTCCTTGAACTTCCTGTCCATAAAATGAATCCAGTGCATTTGCTACCGTCGTACTAATTACCTGAAAAACAAAGAAAATGCATTCGGATATTAAAATTGGAACTTCAGAAATATCATAGTATAGACCATCCCTTCGATAGTCTATGGTATAAGCCTAGTAATTAAACATTTTTCTCAGTCACCAGCTTGGGCGTAATTATTATTAAATTAAACCATAAACTATGATTAAACCATAGACTTCCCTTTGATAGTCTATGATTAAACATATATTCTCTTAGATAGTGCATATCCTTCCATAGTGTATGGATAGTGACATTGAGGGGAATCCCCCTAGAACGGTAATTAGCCTGTTGGTTTTTCATTACTATCAACATCAAGTATCGTTGCCCCGGAGTCGGGCAAAATGGAAGAAAATAGCGTTTTTGTCTGTACAAACTGCATGAATAGGATTCCTATCTTAGACCTACTAAATTGATGCTATGACGCTTTGGTATCTAATTACCTGAGTGGCCAAATGGACTTTCATCCTCGAATATGATGTCAGGTAAATGTGATCGTATTTCAGCTTAGGAACTAGTTTGAGACCACTGCGCCGCAGATCATCCTTGTAAAGGTTAACCAAATGTATCCACGAGATGCTGTATCCTGAATTCTAAAACATATATACAGGCCGATTTGGTACATGCAGATAAGTGATAGATATACAAACCGAGTCTTGATGGATCATAAAATTAGCTCAGAAAAAGTTGCAGTTTTTTTCAGTCAATTCATTCATTTCATTGTGGTATAATTACCCATAGTTGTCTTGTCTTTTTGTTCCATCCGCTGTTTTCCCAATTATTCCTAACCGTTTTGAGTAAATGAGGAACATCTGCTATAAAGAACAGATCCCTTCCATCTTCACTGAAGATATTCTTTGTTTTGTAAATGGTAAGCCCTTTTGCACTTTTGGGGGGCTTGTGAATCTTAACAAATCTCCTATTTGTGGAAGCTCCATCAGAAGTACTTGCAACAACTTTAACCCCAATAGTTTCAAGGTGCCTCACTGCATCCCAGACAAGAGGGAAAATGAAATCTGCTGTTATGCTGCTGTTACAAGGAAAATGTGCTAGGGGGTACTCCAGCCTAATGGTAATTCCTCGGACCATAAACACAAGCATGTAAGTTGCAAGGTCTGGCATTGGGTTGGCATCTTCTTGGCACTGCTTTTCAAAATCTAGCAATGTGTTGTTGATATTACCCAGGTTGGCAAATCCTATAAGTTCTCCAGTATGCTTGCAGTACACAAGATCGCTCTTTATTTTTACTTCATCATGAAGCAAGACCACAAATTTCTGCCATTCTTCCAGCTCACTACTACTCATATCCACAAGCAAACGTTCAAATGAGGAAGGCTGAAATCCAGATGTTACTTTCGTCCAATGAGTATAATCTCTTAATGTTCTTTCACTTGGCAGCTTTATGAATCCAGAGTCTCTTAGTGCTTTGTATGCTGAGGATGATCTTAACTTAATGTTCAGGCACCACTTGATCATAACAGGATGCCATCTCATTTGCCTTGAGTCATTGCAGGACAAAGCCTGCATCTGTTGTTCCCACAATAACCTTCTAAATGATCCTTCAGGTAACTCATTTGCAAAGTTTTCTTTATTTGATAAGATGCTAGAAAGGTCATCATTAATTTGGGGATCTAAAACATGGCCTTCTGTATCAATAAGATGGGCAAGTCTGGACCTCAATTTATTTACCAACTGATTTTTTGATCTGAGTTCCTTTTGCATTGACCTCAACCGTTCTGTTTTTCCTTCTGAAGACAAATATCTGTAATTGACAGAACTGTTTGAGCCTGTGTAGTAGTTTTTATCATATATGGCCATTTTTTGTTGTCTGCATTTGACTGTTCGTAAATATGCTCTATATTTTGAGCATTCAGTGCATCTGTCATATCTTCCTGCAATCAACATGTGACATTTTTCTCCTCGAATTGTGCTCTCAAAATGCTTTCCATTACATTCAACTTCAAACTGTGCATCAATATTTGAACGCATTCTTTCCAAATCAAGCATTGGGTGTGTTTCACTTAGGAGGTCAAGATCAGGATTTCCACAGCATATCTTAGCATCATGAATGGTTGACACAACTTCAAAGAATGCTCCACTAGACTTAATAACTTTATGCTTAACAAGATTTTCCAATCCACTGCAATCAAACTGTTGGACAGTTTTGTTATGCACTCTTATACTCCAAGTATAGTCTTCATAGACTGCCAATGACTTAATAATCATGGGATCTTTCATGGGATTTCGCTTCCTTTGCTTAATGAGAACTACTTTTAACAATTTGCTGTCACTGTTTACTAAAGTCCATCCAGGAGGTAGGCCTATAACTTTTATAGTATTTGCTATTCCCTTTAAAGATGTTGTAGGGGTATAATTGATTGCTTCAGCTATAGGTTGACATCTATAATTGTCCTCGATAGTTTCAGGCATACATGTTGATGTAGCACAGGTGGTAATGTGGTTTGTTGCTGTGGTAGCTATTTCACTTGTAGGGGTATGATTGATTGCTTCAGCTACAGGTTGACATCTATAATTGTCCTCGATAGTTTCAGGCATACATGTTGATGTAGCACAGGTGGTAATGTGGTTTGTTGCAGTGGTAGCTATTTCATTGCCCAATTTATCCTTAAATAGAAAAGAAAATGCATTGCCATTAGCTTTTTAGCTACATAATTACATCAGTTTGTGTATTAAGACTATTACGGTTTACCTGCATGATATCTTCAATAATGTTTTCTTGCTCTGTAAGCATTTGTAATTTCTTAGTCCTATTCAACCTTTCCTTCTTAAATCTCTTTTTTACAGAAAAACCTCTTTTGTATGGCATCTCGAAAAAAAATTACATTATAATTTTAATTATTTATTAATTAAAATACATAACTCACATTATATAAGAACTGCAACTCGATCCTGAATCAAAATAAGTTTATACATATGGTTAATCTTTCGAGGTACATGTAGGTGTAGGGTAATAAAAACAGATAAAGATGTTTGTTTTTAATAAGTAATTTATATACTTGTAGTAATTTTGGTTGTCTTATAAGAAATATAAACATCAATTTCCCTTAATTAATTGCCAACGATAAAATATCAAAGCTATAAAATATAACTTAAAGAATTGTAGCATATTCATACAAATAAATGTTAGAAAACAGTATATTTTTTATGACGAACTTTACGGCTTGATATTTCGGAAGATCGTTAATGCAAGCTCACAGTCTTGCAAACGTTGCAACATGACTTCGGGCTTGTGTTCTAGTTTTTGATAAATTCAAAACATAGTACATCTTTTTTAAACGAAGAACAGTACGGCAATTAAACGATGACCGTTTCGTAGCCCTATCAGTGAGGAATTCGTCTATTTAAATTTTAGAGAAAAAATGTTTCTTGTTCTCAAGCTGCAGGGTTCCTTTTGTGCCGCTTTCTTGAACAATAACAATGCTTTTTTTGCTTCGTGCGAATTTAATACTATCCAACTTGGCCTATCTTTTTTCTTGCAATACAACAGAATTGATTTACATATTTGACCCTAGCTTTATAAGTGTGCATCAAGAGAGTCTGAATTAGTAAATATAAGTGAATTTTGGGAAATTAAGCGTGGTTTATAGTATTACTTTGGATCATGTACTTCAACAATGACATAGACGATGTGCGTTTCTTGTGAAAATCACAACTGAAATTGATCAGCTTTTATTTAAAAATGATAGCGAAAACGGGAACAGGTTATGTATGCGTTTCGTTGACACATTGTGTAGGGATAAAATAATGTGTAACATATTATTAAAAACAGAATTTCTAAAGAGTTACAGGGTCCTTTAACCTTCACATTGACCTTTAACTTCCGGTGCGCCATTTTATGCTAAACACACGGAAGCGCATACCGTTTTGGGAGCTATTTCCCCCAAAAGTCAACCTTTTCTAAAAGTTCTTACCTTCTCAACTGTTTGTCTTTTAATTTAACAGGAGAAAAATATATCCTAGCTGTTATATTTGGAAAAAAATCGCCGTAAAGTCGAACTTGCAGTCTTGCTGTGAAAAATTTTCTTGTTTCTTCCTGCGCTTAATTTCTATGGTAACGCAAAAAACGATTCGTGCTAACCCATATCACGCGTGTATTCGTCAGACACAGCGCTTTATATTAGCGTTTCCAGTCCATTCCTTTCGATAGTCTATGGTTTCTCGCAAGACCCGCAGTGCAAAAATAATTCTTCTGCTTTGAAAACAATGGCAAAACGGGGAGAAACATGGTCGGAAAAAGAAACGTCAGCATTAATAGCCATATGGGGAAACGAAGAAATTCAAAGAAAGTTAAGCAACACACACAAAAATTCGCAAATTTATAAAAAAATTAGTAAAGATTTAAAAACAGTAAGTGGTTTTGAGAGAGATCATGTCTAATGCAGAAATAAGGCGAAACAACTGAAAAGCGTGTATAAAAAGCACAAAGATTCTCAGACAAAGTCTGGTGCTGGAAGAAAAAAACCACCAAAGTTTTTTGACGACTTGGACAATTTTCTCAATGACAAGCCAGATGCTACTGGTCTTGCGAACGCCATTGATACGTCTCACACTAGTGTAAACGAAGCAGACAATGAAAGTGATGTTTCCGTTGATACAGGTAAACTTCTAATTGTTTTATTTACTGTGTACGTGATACATGAAATACAGATGATGAATATTTTTCAATGATTAAAAATTGAGTCTTAGTTTACTTTTATTTGATAACATGTAACTGAACGTTTTATAGAATTTGATCTTGTCCAAAAATATGGTGAAGGGTCTGTGATTGAAAGGCCTTGTCCAGATTGTGGTTACATTGTAGAGTTGCAGTCAAGCGGAGTCCACACTACTGACAATGGATGTGTGAAGGTTTACTGTGAGGACGACGAGTTTAACTGCCCTAAATGTTCTTACACTGACAAGGGTAAAAATTGTACACATAATTATTCATTCACGGTTTTTAAGTTTCAGCCAATGAAAGACATTTTTTTTAATGATTTTACCCCAGATATGGAAATAATACTTCTTAACATCTTATCATGTGTGGTAACTAATAAGAACAATATCTGCTTTCAGGATCTGGTGAGGTAGAGGTGCAAAACAAACGGAAATCTGAAAAATCAGAGCTTAAAGGGGTCAAAAAAAATAAAAAAGAGACAGCTGTTGAGAGAGCAATCGGAAAATTTACGGAGTACCAGAAAGAATCAGATAAAGCCTTCCTTCATCATATGACGGAGCAGGCAACAGTAGAAGCTGATTTGAGAAGCCAGGAATTAAAAGCCTTTACGGATTCAATGGCGTTATTTGCAGGGGCAATTGCTGGAAACCATGCTAACTCAATGGAAGCACAAGAAAGGGGTTACAATAATAATTATCAATCCAGGATCGTTGATGGTGGGAACACTTACTTCACATTTTGAACTATTTGAACTGTTCATATTGAGTTGTGTGAAAAAACACTTGTACTTTATGTTAAAATTGTTATCTACAAAGTAGTATTTCTAAATATACTGTACTTTTGCTGTTTGTATTCAATAACAAGAATAAAATGTCACAGTTAACGTTAATGTGTTTTGAAATGCTCAGTCAAGGCTTCTCTTATTTCATGGGCATTGGTGTCTACTTGGGATCCAAAGTCAAAGCTGTCATCAGGGGCTGACTCAATTGTGTGGAGCCATTCTCCTTGAAATCCATCTCCCCTCTTCTCACAGAGATTGTGAAGGACACAACATGAGCACAATTTTTGGTGGTAGATACTTCAAGGTTGTATTATTTCTTGTTAACAGGCAACGGAATCTGCCTTTTAGTCTGCCAAATGCTCCTTCTACAACATTCCTCGCCCTGCTTAGCCGGTAATTAAATGCTGATTGTTCCCTGTTTACAACTTCAGCATTTGTATATCTTTTAAGCAACCAAGATAACAGTGGATACGCTGGATCACCAATTAGAAACAGTGGTATATCACAGCCATTAATATTTTCTGTCCACTATTAAAAATAAGAACATGTCAAGTGTATGAGAAATATGGTTGGTTACATAATAAACACTCAGCTATAATGCAAGGGAAACTATTTGTCCTGTAACAGAAATTTTGTAAATTGTTTGGGGAGGAGGGGGAGAGGGAAGAGCTGTATTCAAGTCACAAATTGTGAGTTGTGCACACTTAGAATTATAATCATCTTTGCTAGAGTTGTGATGATTTGGAAAAACCTAGCTAAATATCTCTCAACACAATTGTTAGCTTCGCAAAGTCATACTTACGTCTGGGAAAAGTTCACCATTCTGACCTTTGTGGTAGAGACTAGAGTTACTCAACACTCGAGCATCATGCACTTTTCCCGGCCATTTGATGTATACATCCGTAAACCTAAAACCAGCAACATCTCCTTGCTTGAAATTGCTCAAAACATTAGCATATAATTTTCAATTAATTTTCCATTTATTTAATGATTCTGAGACAGTTGGGTGTAATTATATACAGTATGCATACCTGTATAAATGGTCAACCACAGCTTGCAAAACAATTGAGTAAAACCCCTTTCTGTTGTAATAGTATGCCGGGTTCTCCGGAGGTGCAGTTATAGGAATATGGGTTCCATCAATTGCTCCAGCACATTGAGGAAAATTCCACTCTGAAGCAAATCCATCAACAACAGCTCGTAGATTATCTCCCGTTGGCCATGTGACGAATTGCGGCAGCAGAATGCTTACGATTGCTTGGCAAACTTCGTTGATGATTTCGCATGCTGTGCTCTTTGCCACATCAAATCTCCACCCGAGGGAGCGAAGATCTTCTCCGGTTGCCAGATGCCACAAGCAAATAGCCACACGTTTCTCGATAGGGATTGACATTCTAAATCGAGTATCCTGCTTATTTAACACAGGGGAAAGCTGCTCGCAAATAAAATAAAAAGTACTCTTTTTCATGCGTAGATTCTCAACCCAAAGCCTGTCTTCTGTCCACGAAGAAATTGTGTGTTCCCAAAAATATCCGTGCCCTCTGGTTGGTTCGATCCAAAATTCTCTTTCAACTGCTGTGTTGACTACACTTAGCATAGCAATTATACATCTTGTCTTATTTTGAAAATATTGTATAATTGTTTGTTGCATTTTCTTCCGCTGCCTTTTTCGTTTTTTAACAATTTTTTGATGGTTAGTTGTCACAACAGCAGCCAATGCTGTCAACGTGGAACTATCAGCTAAATCCCGAAACTTTACAGTTGACGCCATTTTGAATTTGGCCGCGGAGAGGCGTGGATACTTGTAAGTTTAAGTTTAGGTTATAAGCCCATGTTACGGGTCACGGAATATATAATTAGAATAACGGAAATATATAACACAGTGTTTCCAGTTTTCTGTGTTTCCATGTTTCTATGTTTCTTATTTCTATAGTTCTAGTTCCTATGTTTCCAGGTTTCTACGTTTCTGTGTTTCTACGTTTCTGTGTTTCCACGTTTCTGTGTTTCTACGTTTCTATGTTTCTGTGTTTCTACGTTTCTGTGTTTCTACGTTTCTGTGTTTCTATGTTTCTACGTTTCTGTGTTTCTACCTTTCTGTGTTTCTACGTTTCTGTGTTTCTATGTTTCTATGTTTCTACGTTTCTGTGTTTCTATGTTTCTGTGTTTCTGTGTTTCTGTGTTTCTATGTTTCTGTGTTTCTATGTTTCTGTGTTTCTATGTTTCTGTGTTTCTACGTTTCTGTGTTTCTACGTTTCTGTGTTTCTACGTTTCTGTGTTTCTATGTTTCTATGTTTCTTATTTCTATGCTTCTAGTTTCTATGTTTCCAGGTTTCTACGTTTCTGTGTTTCTACGTTTCTGTGTTTCTACGTTTCTGTGTTTCTATGTTTCTACGTTTCTGTGTTTCTACGTTTCTGTGTTTCTACGTTTCTGTGTTTCTATGTTTCTACGTTTCTGTGTTTCTACGTTTTTGTGTTTCTACGTTTCTGTGTTTCTATGTTTCTACGTTTCTGTGTTTCTATGTTTCTGTGTTTCTGTGTTTCTATGTTTCTGTGTTTCTATGTTTCTGTGTTTCTCTGTTTCTGTGTTTCTGTGTTTCTGTGTTTCTATGTTTCTGTGTTTCTATGTTTCTGTGTTTCTGTGTTTCTGTGTTTCTGTGTTTCTGTGTTTCTGTGTTTCTATGTTTCTGTGTTTCTATGTTTCTGTGTTTCTACGTTTCTGTGTTTCTATGTTTCTATGTTTCTTATTTCTATGGTTCTAGTTTCTGTGTTTCCAGGTTTCTACGTTTCTGTGTTTCTACGTTTCTGTGTTTCTATGTTTCTGTGTTTCTATGTTTCTACGTTTCTGTGTTTCTACGTTTCTGTGTTTCTACGTTTCTGTGTTTCTATGTTTCTACGTTTCTGTGTTTCTACGTTTTTGTGTTTCTACGTTTCTGTGTTTCTATGTTTCTATGTTTCTACGTTTCTGTGTTTCTGTGTTTCTATGTTTCTGTGTTTCTGTGTTTCTGTGTTTCTGTGTTTCTGTGTTTCTATGTTTCTGTGTTTCTGTGTTTCTGTGTTTCTGTGTTTCTGTGTTTCTCTGTTTCTATGTTTCTATGTTTCTGTGTTTCTACGTTTCTGTGTTTCTACGTTTCTGTGTTTCTACGTTTCTGTGTTTCTATGTTTCTACGTTTCTTTGTTTCTACGTTTCTGTGTTTCTATGTTTCTGTGTTTGTACGTTTCTATGTTTCTGTGTTTCTGTGTTTCTACGTTTCTGTGTTTCTATGTTTCTACGTTTCTGTGTTTCTACGTTTTTGTGTTTCTACGTTTCTGTGTTTCTATGTTTCTGTGTTTCTCTGTTTCTGTGTTTCTGTGTTTCTGTGTTTCTGTGTTTCTGTGTTTCTACGTTTCTGTTTTTCTACGTTTCTGTGTTTCTACGTTTCTGTGTTTCTATGTTTCTACGTTTCTTTGTTTCTATGTTTCTGTGTTTCTGTGTTTCTGTGTTTCTCTGTTTCTCTGTTTCTGTGTTTCTGTGTTTCTATGTTTCTGTGTTTCTACGTTTCTGTGTTTCTACGTTTCTGTGTTTCTACGTTTCTGTGTTTCTATGTTTCTACGTTTCTTTGTTTCTATGTTTCTGTGTTTCTGTGTTTCTATGTTTCTGTGTTTCTTTGTTTCTACGTTTTTGTGTTTCTACGTTTCTGTGTTTCTATGTTTCTACGTTTCTTTGTTTCTACGTTTCTGTGTTTCTATGTTTCTGTGTTTCTACGTTTCTATGTTTCTGAGTTTCTGTGTTTCTACGTTTCTGTGTTTCTATGTTTCTACGTTTCTGTGTTTCTACGTTTTTTGTGTTTCTACGTTTCTGTGTTTCTATGTTTCTATGTTTCTACGTTTCTGTGTTTCTATGTTTCTGTGTTTCTGTGTTTCTGTGTTTCTATGTTTCTGTGTTTCTATGTTTCTGTGTTTCTGTGTTTCTCTGTTTCTGTGTTTCTATGTTTCTGTGTTTCTGTGTTTCTACGTTTCTGTGTTTCTACGTTTCTGTGTTTCTACGTTTCTGTGTTTCTACGTTTCTGTGTTTCTATGTTTCTACGTTTCTTTGTTTCTATGTTTCTGTGTTTCTGTGTTTCTATGTTTCTGTGTTTCTTTGTTTCTATGTTTCTATGTTTCTACCTTTCTGTGTTTCTATGTTTCTGTGTTTCTACGTTTCTATGTTTCTGTGTTTCTGTGTGTCTGTGTTTCTACGTTTCTATGTTTCTATGTTTCTGTGTTTCTATGTTTCTATGTTTCTGTGTTTCTGTGTTTCTGTGTTTCTACGTTTCTGTGTTTCTGTGTTTCTGTGTTTCTGTGTTTCTGTGTTTCTACGTTTCTGTGTTTCTACGTTTCTGTGTTTCTATGTTTCTACGTTTCTGTGTTTCTGTTTTTCTATGTTTCTATGTTTCTACGTTTCTGTGTTTCTATGTTTCTACGTTTCTATGTTTCTGTGTTTCCACGTTTCTGTGTTTCTATGTTTCTGTGTTTCTATGTTTCTGTATTTCTATATGTTTCTATGTTTGTATGTACTCTTCCTTCTCAGGTCTTTCCGAGTAGTCATGTTCAGCCACAATCCATTTACATTTGATATTCCTTTGCAAAATAGAAATGCCATGCAAAATTTCTTCTACTTCCTTACGCGAATAATTTTCAAGTCCCTTAACCTTGCGGTCGTTGATTGTTTTCGAATCTCTCTATGTCTTCCAGACACCTTTCTGACAAAATATTCTAATTTTTGCCCATATTCTGCTATCAGAATGTGTTCATTCTTTGAGTTTTTGTCACTTGGATAGATGACATTTTTTTCTCGTTTTCTTGGGCCAAACTGTACAACATTCTAAACATTTTCGTATATAGTAATTGAAGCCCTATGCGGTTGGTTGCAACAATTTTCTTTAAATCCCTGTGAAGTCTTTCATTTTTGTTTGTTCCACACCCAACAGGTATGTCCGACAAACAACCCTTATTTATGTGAAGCTGAATGTTTTTTATCTCCTTCAACATTTCATTAGTAAGAACACTCCATCCATGCAGCTGCATTTTTTACAGATTCCCATTTATTGCTAAATTTTTCTAAGTCTTTCGAAATAACGTCAGGCGAAGGCCTAGACCTTTTTTTCCCGATGTCTCCTGGTTGACGGAAAACTAAGCCATATTCTTTAGCTATGCCACTGATGCCAGACGAGTATTTCGAACACTTTGGTATTTTACGCACTAATCTTTGCACTGCGTAGAATATGTCTAGCTTAATGGGTACACCGGGAAAATGCTTGCTTTCTATTTGCAACACTTATCGAGGAATATTCCTTCTTAAATGTTATTTTGTGTCAAAAATCTTTTCGAAAGTTGTTGAGACAAATTTTCAAGCTTAGCTGTTCCTTCCGTTTTAGTGAATTTCCATTGGATAACTGTGCCTTTTTCATTTAACACGCTAAATAGGCTTTGAAATAATTTTACCATGCACTTATTATCACTTTCGCGTAAATATCCGATATTCGAAGTTGCTTTAAATGTGTGATCGCAACTAATCCATCTTGCAGGAATTATTGAAAAAGAAATGCCGCTAAAATACTTCTTCTGACTTAAATCTGGAAATTATTGCACCCCCAACTAGCGTATATATGTCCTACCCATGGTAGGTCCATTTGTTCGAACGTTGGGAAATTTTGACTTACTTCTTTTGTTAGGCCATTGTTTATAACAATGTTATGATCACGGTAATAACGTTGCGCTCGTTCATAAAATGCTTTTTCGAACCACAGAAACATAAAAACGTAGAAACACAGAAACATAGAAACATAGAAACACAGAAACGTAGAAACACAGAAACGTAGAAACATAGAAACACAGAAACACAGAAATATAGAAACATAGAAACACAGAAACGTAGAAACAGGGAAACATAGAAACACAGAAACGTAGAAACACAGAAACGTGGAAACACAGAAACACAGAAACGTAGAAACACAGAAACGTAGAAACTTAGAAACACAGAAACGTAGAAACACAGAAACACAGAAACATAGAAACATAGAAACGTAGAAACACAGAAACACAGAAACATAGAAACGTAGAAACACAGAAACATAGAAACGTAGAAACATAGAAACATAGAAACACAGAAACATAGAAACACAGAAACACAGAAACACAGAAACATAGAAAGAAAGAAACGTAGAAACATAGAAACACAGAAACGTAGAAACACAGAAACGTAGAAACACAGAAACGTAGAAACACACCTGTCCCTCACCGTAAACTCTAAAACTAACCAGAAGGTATTGTAAATTCAAATATTTCAATATTGAAAAAGGTTTAAAAAAATTCCAAAAAATTGTGAAAATAAAAAAGACCATACCAGGGATCGAACCAGGATATTCCGCACACAGGGAAAGCTCATTACCTTTTGACCACTTGAACGCTGCTAAAATTTTCCGTATTTTAGCTGTATTTATATTCCTCACGAACAAAAAATAGATCAAACAGACGTGGTTACAAAGCTAAAAAAGTGTAAAGTTTCGGGATTTAGCTGCTTTTCAACGTGGAATTGTCCGCCATGTTTGTTTATGAAAACACGATCCCTGGAATGCCCTATCAGTTGACTACTACCCCTATATATCCTTTTCTATACATTATGTTCCTTGACACAGACAAAATGTAGCCCAGATGCGACTCGCCAAGTGTGAACACTCCCATTAAATCGATTCGAAATCGAATCGAACTCGAATTAACTAAATCGATTTTCAACCGAGCTAAGTGTGAACGGGC